TGAAACATTTTTCTCGATTCATGATAGATGGCGCTGTAATCGACGAAATTCAATTTCTTCGATTTCTCTTACTGAGAACCCATGCTTACGATTCTGCAATAAATTAACAATAAAAATACCACGTTTTCATTGTTAATACGCGAAATTAGTCTTAAAACAAACTTCTCATTATTTTTTATTACTCATTAATTACTTCTCAAGAAACTGCTTTTAGAGTAATATTACCAGAGTAATATGATACGGATGGTAATTGACTGATCGTAACAATCTATGTGCCGTAGTTTGAGGGATTCCCAGTTCTCGTTTTATTTGACGGGTACTAATATGGGGATTTTGATGAACCATAGCTAAAACTGCGAGCAATCTAGGGTCATTATTATTATGAAGTCTATTCCTTCGCTTTTCGCGATGAAGTGGATTATTACGAGATCTCCTTTCAATGTTTATAATTTGTTGATCAGTAGGATGGCGGCGATTTGGGAATCGCTCCGCATAAGTACGGGCAGTAAGTCTGTAATTTCTACCACATTCACCAAAGGTTATAAGAATATCGACTACTTCTGTAGGCGTATAATTTGCCATTTTACCAGAATTTTATCAGAGTACAAATGTTAAAAAAATACATAAACACTTGTGACTTTGGCACTAAATGGACAAAATTTTGGAGGGATACTTAGAGGAACTCCATCAGATGGAAAGTCCAAAATGTCTCGGTACTTTGGACCATTCAAGTTGCCTAAAGGGCAGATTACGCTAAAAGCAGTTTCTTGAGAAGTAATTAATGAGTAATAAAAAATAATGAGAAGTTTGTTTTAAGACTAATTTCGCGTATTAACAATGAAAACGTGGTATTTTTATTGTTAATTTATTGCAGAATCGTAAGCATGGGTTCTCAGTAAGAGAAATCGAAGAAATTGAATTTCGTCGATTACAGCGCCATCTATCATGAATCGAGAAAAATGTTTCAGACAAATTGTATGTGTTTTTAGCCAAAGATTCCGAATATGCAATAAAAAATAGGGGTTCCCATTTAAGATTTCAAACTTGCCCCCCCTCACCGCCCAGGGGGAGGGGTGGGGGGGCTAATTTTAACGTCATTGTACGTCCCCCTCGAAATGACGAAATTTTGATTGTAAAAATTTTTTCGTAGTGTGCTTATTTTTCGAGTTATTTGGCAGCCTAAGTTAAAATGGGTCACCCTGTATATATACAGGGTGAGTCATTTGAATCTATCACCTCCAATAACTCGTTTGTGTGGCCAGGAATCGAAAAAAGTTTCATATAAAAGTTGTAGGGTTTCGAGGGGGAACCAAAATGGCGTACCTTTCAACTTTTGATTTTGACCGAAAGTGGGTTACTTCAACCGGAAGTGGTTTTTTTTAAAATGGAAACCCCCTTTTTGACACCGGAAAATGAAAAAGCGGAAAATTTTACGTTCAGATATAACTTTGGCTGTTTTAAAATTTTCAAGATGGCGGACGAAGATGG